TTGCGTCCTTACCCCGCGTCCTTACTATACGTTTTCACTGTATTACGTGTTTTCTGTGTGGGAAGGAGTCCGCGCGTCAGTGAGTCTGAACGCGAATGCGTCGAATCGTGGTTGAGTCTGCGTGTGAGTGAGTCTGAGTGTGAGTGATCGGAGGCGTGAGCGGCTGAGTGAGATGTGGGAGGATAAGGCGGGAGTGAGGCGGAGGCGTCCAACAACAAAAACAAAGATGCGTCTCAGGATGTGCGGAAACACAGTCTGGTATTTCTTATGCCTCTTTCGGCCTCTCGGGGCTCTCTAATGATCACAGGGAGCGTCAGAGAACGCCTCGGATGAAAAGCCGGCCCTTGGGAGAGGGCCGAGATTTCTGGGGGCTTCGTGCTGAAGCAATCGGTACATTGCATCACTGGATTTCAGGGATCTCGTGCTCAGATCCCCGATCGAAAATCTTCGAGCAGCGCCAGGACGACGACGACGACCAACCCAGGCATCCGATGTTCTGTCGTTTTCAGTGCGTGGTCCCCGGAAGTCCCGACCCTTTCCCTGAGGCCGGTTTTTCCTGCTGGGTCGCTTTTTGACGCCCTGCAGGCCCCGCGAGGGCCTTTGGAATCCGAAAACTTCCAACAATCTCGAGCGCGTTTTCAAAGTTCAAAGAAGCTAGATTGCATGGGATCCCCCCCCCCGCCCCCCGGAATGGCAAACTTTCGTTCAATTGTACGATGTGGTTTTCATTTATTTGTTTTGTCTATTATCTTACTCTCCTGCTGAGGTTGTTGCTTTTCCTCGTGGTGTCTCTGCTCTTGCGTTCTTTCCTGGCGGTCTCAGGCGACCACGTTCATCTTCGAGGCGGCCTTGTAAAAGGATTTCTCTGGCGGCCTCACGGTGGGATTATATTTCGGGCGTCATTCTACCAGTGTCTCTCTTGTGGCGGCCCTACGATCGAATTCCCTTTGTGCTGCCCTTACAATGGGATTCCCTTTTTGGCGGCCTTACGAACAGAATTCCCGTCGTGGCTCTCCCTGGTAGTAACTCAGGGGTCCAAAAGAAACACATGAGAACTCATTGAGAGTTTAAAAGAGGGTTCGACGTTCCATGGTTGTAAGCGGCATGTGCCAAACCGATATCAAAATGTACCGCAAAATCCAGCGCTTGGTAGCCCAATTTCTTAAACACAGAAACAGCATGCTCATACACAGTGTCTGCAAACCATAAGGTTTTAGCTGACTCTGCCTCGTCGAATATGAAGAAGTGTTTTGTTGTCAGATGATTTGGTTTTCAAATCGGACGACAGACTGAGCTTTGATATGTTCCTGGGGGTCACAGTTTTAGACATGCGGTGTCTTTACACATGGTTTGTTGCCCACTGCTTTCTGTTGGCCCCTGTGTTATTACCAGGGGAGGCCACAAAGAAAATGACTGTTTCAAGCCGCCGCAACAGGATTTTGCTTGTAAGGCCGCCACAGAAGGATTCGGTGGTTAGCCGCCACAAAGGAAATCCTTTGTGTAAGGCCGCCAAATGCATTTCTGGTAAGGCTGCCACAGGAAGAACTGTTTGATGAGGCGGCCAAGAGGGGGGAGTCATGCTGCAAAGCCACCACAGGGAAATCTTGTTCGAAGGGCGCCACAGGAAGAATCAGTGTAAGCCGGCCGCAGGAAGAGTCCTTTTGGAATGCCGCCACACAACAAATTCTTTGTTAACGGCCGCAGACGGAGTCACATCGTAACCCGAACCAAAAAGAGTTGATATGTAAGTTGCAGTAAACTAAATACATGTATAATCCGCCACAGAGGAGGTGAAATAGCGTCCGTCACGTCACATCACGAATCAAGGTGTAATCCGCCACAAGAGAGGAATCCTCTTGTAATCCGCCTCTGGATCAACCAACATGCAAGGCAATCGCAAGTTTAATACATGTGTGATCCGCCAGAAGAAAGAATGACTGTGTAATCTGCGAGGGAGATTCAACGACGAAGGACGATGAAGCGAGGAGGAGGAGAGGGATACGTTGTGGGGGGCTCTGGAGCTTCGGAAAGCACAGTCGGAAGGTCACGCGGGAGGAGAGAGGAGGACAGAATGGAAATAGGAGAAAAGAAGTCGGCAGAAGTGGAAGAGGGTGATGGATCAAGGGGCCGAAACGAGTAATTTGTGTGTGTGAGGCCGCCACACGAGGAAATCAATTCAAAGGCCGCCGCTCAAATAATCGAATTGTAATACGCTTCAAACGGAATCAAGTTGTAAGGCGGCCGCAGAATGACTGAATCCAGCAGCCTCTGGCAAGTCCCGCCACAGTGCCATCCCAGCATTCTGGGTTGCGATTGTTCCAGGGGGTACGGTTGGCCGTCACGTGTGACACCTCTTGTCTCCAGGCTTGGGGAAGCCGCGATGAGTATGATGAGAATAATGAGGATGATGGGGATGATGATGGTGTTGTGATGATGCTGCTGATGAATGTTATGGTGATGGTTATGGTGATGCTGATGATACTCATGATGATCCTGATGATGGTAGTGATGATGGTAGTGATGGTAATTATGATGATGACGATGCTGATGACGACGACCACAACAACGACGATTACGATGACGAAGTCGATGCTGGTGTTGATGCTACTGCTGCTGATGCTGTTGATGACGATGGTGGTGATCATGATTATGCTGATGATGACGAGGATGATGATGATGATGATGATGATGATGATGATGATGATGATGATGATGATGATGATGATGACGATGCGGATGGTGAAGTTGCTGCTGATGACTTTAAACACGATGAGGCTGATGATGGTGATGATGATGATTGTAATTATGATGATGCTTGTGTTGAGGACGATGATGATGTCGCTGCTGCTGCTGATGCTGATGCTGATGGTGTTGATAATGATGTTGATGCTGATGTGATGGCGATGATGATGCTGCTAATGATGATGTTGATACTGATTCCGATGCTGCTGTTGCTGGCTCTGATCATGATGATGCTGCTGATGATGAGGATGATGATGCTGATTATGATGATGATGATGCTGATCCTGATGATGATGATGGTGCTCATGATTAGGATTATGCTGCCGATGCTGATGTTGATGATGTTGTTGATGATGATGATGATGCTGCTGCTGCTTCTGATGATGATGCTCATGATCTCGGTTGGGCCGCCGTGGTGCTGTCCTGACCTCCAATGCGGCAGTCTGGGAGGTCCTTTGGGGCCCTCTTGGGCCGGCTTTAAACCCTCTCACGCCGTTTTCGGGCTCTCTTTGGACGTGCCGGGGCCCTTTTGGCCGTGTGATGGGCGTCTGGGGGGCCCTCGTTGGAAAGGCGAGAACGCGAAACTCTTTCGGCCGCGAGTGAATTCAATAGTTCTGGCTTCTGCTGACCCTGTTGGAGGTCCTCTTGTGGCCATTCTGGGCCCTCTTGGAGGCATCCTGGTCCGTCTTGGGTTGATATTCGATCGCCTTGGGGCCATCTTCGGCCGCATTCCAGGCAGATTGGGCCATCTTGGTGTCCTTGGTTGCCTGCGTGGGCCTTCTTGTAATCTTGGGACGCGTACCGATCGCTTTAGCGAGGGATCGTGGCTTGGGAGGCCCTGGAGCGCTTGGGAGCAGCGCCTGAGAATGCGGGACATGCACTGTCCTCGAGCGTGTGCGCGTGGGATGAGAGGTCTAGGAGTTAGCAGCCACGCGTGAAGTGCATGGAGTGAGGGTCCAGGCAGTAGCTGCCGTGCGGGAAGTGCACCATACTCGAGCGGGCACAAGGGAAGTGGCCTCGGAAAGGAGTGGCGGCGCTCGCAAGAGCATGTTGCTAGAAAAAGGAGCGGTATCTTCCAGGCATGCCGTGGCATTCTTCCACACTTTACCGTACCAGGGGGCACGGTGGCGGATTTGTGAGGCCGCCCCAGGAGGAATAAGTGTGACATTTGCCACAAGAGGAATCCATATGTGAGGGCGCCACGAATGTTTTTTGCCCGTGGGTCACGACATAAGACGTCTGTTCGCCAGAGCGCCACAGAAGGAAGCTAGCTGCAGACAAACATAACATGCTGTAAAGCTACTACAGGAGATCCTGGACAAGGCCGCCGCAACAGGAAGTCATTCCTCAACCCGCCACAGCAGGAGCTCAAATGTAACGCTGGCAGTAACGCAATCAGCCTGTGGGCCTTGACATCAAGAATCTACATATGTATATATATATATAGATATATACACAGATACATCTATGAGGCCGCCACAAAAGGATATCGATGCGCAGGCCGCCACAAGGGATCATTCTGCAACCCTCTACAGGGAAATCACACTACAATCCGCTGAGCAAGGAAGCAACATGTAACGCCGCCATTCGGACCAAATGTGTGTGTGGGCCATCACAGTAGGAAGCAAGTTGCGAGGCCGCCACGGCACGAACTCTATATCCAGGCCGCCACACATGGGATCGAAATGTAAGCCATCGCAAAAAGGATCAATGTGTAAGGCAGCCAAAGGGAATCCTAGTAGAACCCCCCACGAAGAATCTTGTTGTAACCCACCACAGAAGGAATTCTGTTGAATTCTCAGACAAATGGGATACGTGTGTATCCACTGGCACTCTGCCCCAAAGGGAATCCTGTGGCAGTATGTCACAAAAGAAATCGTTTTGTAACTTTCGACAGAAGGAATCACCGTGCAACCCGCCACAAAAGAGATCAATGTGCAACCCGCCACAATCGGAATCCTTTTGTACAAGGTGGATCTTCTAGCAATCTGCCACGGTCGAAATTATCTTGTTCCTCCTCTCTCCAGACAGACTGCGTGTCCGAAACGGCGTGCAGGTGCATTTCCACTGGCAGGGAATATCCAGAGTGTTCGTTCAGGGCCTCGCCAGACCTCCCCCCCCCCCGCCCCCCTTCCAGGCAAGCAGCCTTGCCAGAATTCCCCAAAAAAACAACGGCCTTCGTCCCGTTGTGACTTTCTCGGCTCGGGGACGGCGTCGGCGGTGGCGGCGGCGCTCGCAGCCGCTTGCGCTCCGACCAGAGCACACGCGCCGCCACCCGGGCCCGCTGGCACCCGCGCCGGCGTCCTCCTCGTTGGGCCCGCCGCCGGCCCGCGCGCTCGCGAGCATGCTCGACTGCTGCCTCAAGGGCAACTCCAACGAGGCGCGGCCCCGGCATCTGCAAGCAAACTCCCGTGGAGGCGTGTTCTCTATTTTGGAAGAACTGAGCAAGTTCAAGCTTTGCATGGGATTTCTCCTCCCCCCCTGCTTGGCCGAGACGGCGTGCAAGTGGGTTTCGGCTTGCGCGAGGTCCAGAGTTCCTTCAGGGCCCCGCCAGGCCACCCTCCCCCCCATCCATGCAAGTAAGCTTGCCAGAGCCGGAAGAAGAACTGCCTTGAAACCACAGCCCGTGGGTGAGGTTGGGGGCGGCGAGCCCCAGGGGGGGAGGTCGAAGCGTTGAGTCCCGTGCTCGCTGGTGCCTAGGGGCTCTCTCCGTCCGCGGGGTGTTCCTCCTCCTCCTCCTCCTCCTCCTCTTCCTCCTCCTCTTCCTCCTCCTCCTCCTCCTCCTCCTCCTCCTCCTCCTCCTCCTCCTCCTCCTCCCCTGGGGCCCCCTCCCACAGCCCTTCACGACCAGAGTGCCCGTGCTCGAGGGCGCCCCTCCCAGGCAGGCCCGCGTCGTGAAGTCTTTGGGCCGTGCTCGGCCTCCGGGATGGCTCTCGCTGGGCCCTGGGGCCGTCGAGAGCAGCAACTCGGGGTGCGCAGCCTGCCCCGGGGGAGTGTGTCGAGACCTTCGCATGCGGGTCGATTTTTCCGTGGTGAGCAGACCACAGCACGCCAGAGGAGGACTTCTTCACCAAGCATGGCCGCGAGGGGAGTGCTTCAATAGTGATCGCGTTCTTATTCCTTGTTTCGCCGATCGGTGCGGGCCCTCGCACCCCCGCCCCCTATGGAGCACATCTTGGCTGTTTTTGGCGCCTCTTCCAGGCAGGTGGAGTCCCTCCCCAGAAAAGAAGGAGGAGCAGAAACACACAGACACAATTCATCGTCGATGCCCCAGAGAATATGGGGAAAGATGGGCAGTGGGGGGGAAGACAGAAACCCAGGAAATATTGGGACACATGGGGTTATTGGTGTGTATTTACTCGTGTGTCCCAGGGCCCCTTCATTGAAGCAAGTCATGATGTCGCATGGTCGGGCTTGCATTCCGAGCCCGCGGCAAGGACTTGTCGTGGTGTTGGGCCGCGCAGAGGCAGCCTCCCCAGGCGGTCCTGGCCGGGCTCTCCACAGGCCCCCCGGTCTCAACGCCCTGGCGCCGCCTCCGGCAGCACACCTGGGGCCGCCTCCGCGCTCCAGGTGAGACCTCCTCGGGCCACTCGGGTGAGTTCTTCTGACAAGCCGAGACTCGGGGGCCCCCAAACGGTGTGGTGACCACACCGTGCGGTGAGTCGGTGGGGATCCGGGGTCACCGCACGGTTTTGGGACTCGAGTCTTTCTCCGAGGACGTCTCGGGCGACAGGGGCCTCCAGGGTCCCAAGACCGTGCGGTGACGGACCGTGCGGTGAGGTCTTGGGGGGGTTCGAGGTCACCGCACGGTGGGTCACCGCACCGTTTCGGGACTCCAGAGAGACGACCTGGGGTGGCTGTCTGTGCGCAAGCCGAAGCCTTACCTCACCTCTGCGTCCTTTGCCTCTTCGGCGCGCCCTCGGCCCGTCCTGTCTGCAATCCCTGGCGGCGCGCAGAGGGGGGTAGGGGGAGGGGGAAGGCTTCTTAGAAGCACCCCTGCTTCCTAGAAGGTGCGGGCCTTCTCTGTAGATGTAAGGCCGGCGCCTTCTGAGAAGCAGCCTCCTTCTAAGGAGGCTTCCCCCCTCCCCCTACCCCCTTCTGCTCGCCGCCAATATCCGCGGCCCACCGTGACGCCCAGGGGCCTTGAACCCTTACAGCGCGCAGCCTTCATGCGCCCGCTGGCTATTCAGGAGAGGACAAAACACACAGACACAATTAATCTTCGATTCCCCAGAAAATATGGGAAAATATGGGAAGTGGGGGCGAAGACAAAAACCCCAAAAATATTGGAAAATATGGGGAATCGTTTTATTTGTGTGTACTTATTTGTGTGTCCCTGGGCCCCTTCAAATATCCGCGGCCCACCGTGACGCCCGGGGGCCTTGAACCCTTAACAGCGCGCAGCCTTCGTGCGCCCGCTGGCTTTGTAGCCGTCGGCGTCGTCGGCGTCGTCGAGCCCCGCGGCTCCGGAGTCGAGGCTCTCGGACGTCCCTGGCCTCTGCTGTTGCGTCTCCAGCGGCCTCGGGAGAGGCACCTGCTGCGCCGCCAGAACATGTCCATATCCACTGCCGCGGGATCGTGCCCTGGGGTCTCAGGGAGCAGTAGATATGGATACTCCAGATTTGGTAATAAATGGGAGGGGGTCTCAACCCTCCCAGACGAGAAGTTTTAGACCTCCCCCGTGGGAGAACCCTCCAAAACATCGTCCCCAGACCCCCCCAGGCCCTCCAAGATAGCCTGGAAGAGACCCCCCCCCCCCCGAAATGAGACTCCCCTCCCTTTATTACGAAATCTTGAGTATCTGCCCACCCACGCGGGCACGCAAATATCCACATCCACCACTCCTTGGGATCCCAGGCCACGATCCCGCGGCAGTGGATATGGACATATCCTGGTGGTGAACCTGCAGACCTCCCGGGGCCCCCAGGACTGGAGGTTGTCGTCGGCCGTCATCGCCCTCGTTGTTCTCGCCCTCGTCGTCGCCGTCGCTCCCAACGGGGGACGGTCGGGTCGACGTCCGTGCCGCCGTTGTCATCGTCGCCCTCCTCGTCCTCGTCCTCGTCCTCTTCGCCGACGTCGTCGGAGTCGGAGTCAGAGTCAGAGTCGGAGTCGGAGTCGGAGTCGGAGGCGAAGTCGTCGTCGTCGTCGTCGTCGTCGCCATCCTTGTCCTTGTCGTCGTTGGAGTCGTTGGGGTCGTCGTTGTCCCCGTTGTCCTCGTCCGCCCCCTCTTTCTTCTCCAGCTCCTCCTCTTTCCCTTCCTCGTCATCGTCGTAGTCGCGGTCGTCTCGTCGTCGTCGTCGTCGCCGCCGCCGTCGTCGTCGTCGTCGTTGTCGTCGTCTCGTCAGGTCATTCGCAGAAGCACGGAGATGACCTCGCTTCGCGGTCCGGGCTGGACGGTTGCTCTGTTCCCTGGACTCGGCGACAGTGCACGAGGATGATGGGACTCGCGCAGCACAGAGCGCGGAGAGAGGCTATTTACAGCAGGCATGTTGCATAAGAAGCAATCCTGCCAGCATGTTCCCTAGGGAGATGTTTCATTTTTAGGGTCCTGTGGATCCCACTGGGGACTTGGATAGCCCTCGGAAATGTCAGGAGTTGCTGGGAATGTGCCCCTAGATTTCGTGCTGCAGTGATTCTCACCGTATTGGTATGACGGGGGATCGGTGCCAGAGGTTCCCAGGCAGGTTTGGCACCAGAGAACCCCCGAGGCCACAAGACCGCGCCACAATTTTCCGACACGGACACTGAGATGCCAAATATGCTTTCCCGATTATATTGTTCGGCCCATGCGGCCGCTGTGAGGCCACGTCTAGCCTTCGTTGTCTGAATCGAATTTTGTGCGTGTGTGTTTTTGCATGCTTGACCTCCCTGCCGTCAACACGCTCAAGACGGCCGAATCCGTTTTCAATGTCGCCCCAACACGGCCGAAGATGGCCTCAAGAAGGGCCGTCTCGTTTTGAATTAAGAAGTTGAGATGTTGTGCTCTGAGGCTTCTAGCCTGGTCGCAGCTGAGGGACTGGCCCAATCTTGTGGACTGTCAGGAGGTCCGTGTGAGCCCAAGGGTGCTGCATTTTGTTCGACAAGATAGTCTCGCATAGTGTGTCTGGCTTGGCACACATTTCGACTGGATGATCGTGACTGTGGCTGTTATTGGTGACTGATCGCCGCTGCCGACGCGTAGTGGGAACCAGCAGAAAGGTTTGCCCCTCATCGTCACGTTCGTGATGCGACAACGTGACTCTTACTAATAGGCTCGCCTATGGAGACCAGTTGTCGCACTTGCTCCTGACCTCTAAGGCCTTGCACGCTCTTGATACTGATTCCACCCTGGTGGAACACATGTTCAATGTTCCAGATCGGGACATTTTCAGTCACAGTGATCGAATGATAATGAATTTGAGTAGTGGACATCCTGGCACCAATGAACATAGTGGCAAAGTGCGAAACGCTGAATTAACTCCACGGGCGACTCCATGGGGCTTGCATGCCAGGTGCTGTTGCTGCTGAGCTCAAGTGATTCCTCTCCTGTCGTTCGACTTCGCGTGGTCGCACACATCAGCCGCTCCTACTCCCGACCGACCGCGACAAAATTCTGGGCGATTCATATGCTATGCCTTCATGGGGCCTGGCCATGTGTTTCGCAGTGAGGTTGCCAATCGTCTGGGTTCTGACCACTCGCTGGTTCTCGTCCGCCTGTGGCTGCATGTACCGCCCAAAGGGGGGGGATAACATGGGTTGGTGAAGAGGACGGCATGTTCGATGCACCCCGCGCTGCTCCAGCGATTCGCCACAAGGCGACTCTTCCGAAGCCACTTGCAATCGTTTGTGACGTTCTACCTGGGAGATTCTGCGTTGGTGGGGCAGGCACCTCCTCCTTACGCGGAGCATCTCGTGTTCAAACGTAACCTGAGATGTCGTGGCACAGATTGCACGCCACTTGTTTTCAACAGGGGTCAACCTGCTGGTCACGGTTGTCCAAGTGCACAGTTGGAGGAGCTTGATATTGTGGAAACGCCAATGGTGTCGCATAGTTGAGTCCCGTACAGGAATGCCGCCGTCACCGCCCTTTGCGGAGCGACGCTCGGCCTCCAAGCTGGTCTCTGCAGTGGGGTCTTCAGAATTCGGCTCTGCCTCTCAGCGGGTTTCAGCAGTTTTTTTTGCTGTGCAGCAGTTTCTCTTGATGCTGGGCGCCCTCTCTGCAGGCAAGCCGCGTGCGCAGAGGCATGCCGAGTGCCCGCGGTCCGCGGTCAGCTGCTTTGGCTGGGCCCAGCCGCACCAGGTGCTCTGACACTGATGGCGGTGGTCCCGTCTCCCTCTCCTCCTCCTCCTCCTCCTCCTCCTCCTCCTCCTCCTCCTCCTCCTCCCTCCTCCTCCTCCTCCTCCTCCTCCTCCTCCTCCTCCTCCTCCTCCTCCTCCTCCTCCTCCTCCTCCTCCCTCCTCCCTCGCCCTCCGCCTCTTGTGCTGCCAGCCGCTGCGGCTGCTCACTGACATGCGCGCCTCTCCTGCTGCCCGAGGTGGCACAGGCCCCTACGCGGCCAGATATAGTACGTCCGAGCGGCAGCGACAACTCAGGGCGAGTCAGGTGATACGGCCCCCTTGGGCATAGCGTTGTGATTTGCAGCGGAGTTGAACATCATCTAGGCCCGATGTATCGATGGATGTGGTTATTATTCTGCTGTGTGCACCGCCCGAAGAGGGACTCATGGGCTGGTATGCGCAACGGCCCATGTGCTGTGTGCTCGGGATGCGCCGCACTACGACGGCCTCGAAGCCTCGTGTCATCACGTGCGACCTCCTCTCTGAGAAGCCTATGTGCTGTTGGGGCAGTGGGCTATGCACACGGTACTCCAGATTTGGTAATAAAGGGAGGGGGGTTTCATTCCGGGGGGGGGGGTCTCGCCCAGGCTGTCTTGGAGGGCCTGGGGGGTCTGGGGACGATGTTTTGGAGGGTTCTCCCACGGGGGAGGTCTGAAATGGCTTGTCCTGGAGGGTCCAGACCCCCTCCCTTTTATTACGAAATCTGGAGCAATTTTGTCGGGGCAGTGGGCAGTATGCACAAAGTGAAGTGAATCTTCGTGGCAGTATTTTTGAACACTTGTGCGCAAAGTGAACCTTCGTGGCCCGTCCTGCCCGCCGGGTGCTATCATGGCGTCTAGCTGGCCACGGAGGTCCACGTGCCCGGCCCGAAGATCTCATGGCATTGTGGACACACCGACGTGGCTTCGCCACGTTGACCACCTTACGTTGCATCCTCGGGGGGCCTCGCCGGTCCCCAAAATGTGTGTCTTTTCTCGTGCCCGACGCGGCCTCGATATGGACTCGACGCGGATGGAGCGCGGCTTCGACGCGGATTCGGCACGGATTCGACACAGGTCCAACGAGGCCGATATAGATTCGACACGGATTCGACGCGGATAGGGCCGCGACGGGACAGACAAGGTTCCCCGAGGATGCAACATAAACCACCGTGCTCGAGTCCCGCTGGCATGAGCTTCTGAAGAGTTGCCCTCGGCGTCTTAGCGGCCAGTCGCCTTAGTTTGGGTTTGCAGAATGTCGGTGGGCTTCTGAGCGAGAGTAGACAACTAATCTTGCCCGTTCTTGCCGAATGCGTTCTTCGTATTCGGGTTGAGTGCCTCTTATGCGGGCTAATCGTCTGCGCACGGGCTTGCCGAGTGTGCAGGCGGTGTTCTTCTTCGTCCTTCTGTTCGCATCCTCGTGCTCACGACGGCTCAGTTTTGCGTGCAGAGGTTATGACGTGCTGCGGTCCAGCGCGGCGTAGCCGTGGGCACTAGAGACTAAAGAGTGACAGAGTGCGCCAATGTGGGTGGTGCATCCAGCTTCCAGCGGGAAGCTTCGGCAGCTTGCCAGTATTTGCGCGTCTGCCTCTCAAACGGCGCCGCGTGATGTGCGGCTCTGCGCAGAGCGGCTCGGCCTTGCCACAGGGGTCTTGCACGTGCAGCCCTGTGCTGTCGGCTCTGCGGCGAGCCGATCTGTGAAGCATCCGCTTTTTGGCGGCCGTGTGGAGCTGTGCATGCTGCCTTGCTGCCGGTGGCAGCATGGAGTCGTTGCTCGGCGGGGCCCGGTTTGGAGACGCGAGGGCCCCGAGAGGGGCGCAAGACAGCCCAGGAGGGCTCCAAGGCCTCACAAGAGAGGGATTGGGAATGAGGGGGAGGGGGAGGGCCAGGGGGGGGAGGGGAGGGGGAGGGGGGGGGGGGAGGGGAGGGGGAGGGGGAGGGGGAGGGAGGCTCCGCCTCCTCTAGGGGAACGAAAACTAACATAAACATGACGACTCGGAGGTCCGCGCGGATTTCTCGGATCCGCGCTGGACCCCTTGGCGGCGCCTCCGGCACCGCCCCTGGCGCGCTCCGCGCGCCAGGGAGGGGGGCCCAGCGCGGATCCGAGAAATCCGCGCGGACCTCAGAGTTGTTATGTTTATGTCATGTTTCGTTCCCCTATTCCCCTTCTTCTCGCTGTTCCCTTTAGCACTCCCGCCCGCCTTCGTCCCTCCCTCCCGCCACTCCCACTCCCGTGTCCGAGGCGGTGGAATTGCACATGGCTCTGCACGCAGCACAGAAGCTGCCTCGAAGCTCTGTTTGTCCTCTGTCTCTCGTTCTAGATGGGGAGCAACGCACTCTTCACTCTCCCGCCGTCCCAGGGAGGGAGGAGGGAGGAATAGGAGAGACGGAGGAGAAAGGGAGAGGGAGAAGAGATAGAGACGGGAGGAGGGAGGGAGAGAGAGAAGAGAGAGGGATTCGGGTGGATTCGAGCTGTCGAAAGTCGAGGTACCCCACTATGAACTACCTCCTTCGAGCGTGCCAGCCGCATCGGGCCGTCTCCGCGCCAGACCTGACAGCAATGAATGTTCCCGCGCGAGCTGGTCTCCGCAGTGCAGCTGCAGTTGACTCGTCCGCTCCCCTGCGGCACCGGCGCCTGCTGCCACTGCACCCGAACTGTAGCTTAGAACGCAGCTACCTCCCCCGAGAGCAGCGCGGGCCTGGTTGTTCATCACACCCTGAACTCAACGCCGCATTGTTGGTGATGATGTCTGCTCCTGCGCTTTCCTTCTCCTACCTCCACCCTGGTTTCCGCCGTTCGGCAGGGGTCGTGGGGCGGGCCTGGGTCGGCTTCACGCCTAAACACTTCTCGCCCTTCTCGGAATAGCGGTGCGCCCTACCACTGCTTGCCTTCTGGTTTGAATTACTCCGAGCGTTGTCAGAGTGAGGGGACGAACGGTATTTCACCATCCTTGGTTGCGTGGCTGAAGTGGGACTCCGCGGCGCGGGTTCTGCTTATTTTTTGTGTTGCTGTTGTTGTCCAATGTTCATTTCTAAAGAGTAATTATTGTTGTTACCCCGAGACACCCTGGTCAAGACTTCCTGTCAATTCAAGCAAGATGGTGGAGGCCCGGACACGGCGACAAGGGTTCCCGTTCGATATTTCTCCGTAGGTATTCCTAGAGCCCCTGGCCAGAGAGGCCCCCGAACTCAGGAACGGCGCTCTCTCTCAAGACCTCCTCGCACTTCAGTCAGTGGCCGACAAGGAAGAGATTCCCCCCCGAAAGGGGGTGCAATCGAAGACGAAGTGGGCGGGTATCGAGGGTTGGGGTATACGGAATGCAAGACACGCGCGCCAGTAAGAGCGATCAGTCTTATAATGATTGTTGTTGTTGATGTTTTTGTTGATAGTGTTGTTATTGCTGTTGTTGCTGATGCTGCTGTTGTTGGTGGTGTTATTGTTGCTGTTGTTATTGGTGATGTGTTGTTGTTGTTGCTGTTGTTGCGTTGCGTTGTTATTGTCTCTTCCCACCCGCGACCCACCCCGCGACCCACCCGCGACCCACCCGCGACCCAACGCGCGACCCACCCCGCGACCTACCCTGCGACCTACCCTGCGACCCAACCGCGACCAGACTGCGACCCGCCTGCGACCCACCCGCGACCCGCGACCCCCCCGCGACCCACCCGCGACCCACCCGCGACCAAACCCCGCGATCCACTCAGCAACCCAACCCGCGACACACCCGCGACCCACCCGTGACCCACCCGCGACCCACCCGCGACCTACCCGCGAACCAACCCGCGACCCACCCGCGAGCAACCCGCGACCCAACCGCGACCCACCTCGCGACCCACCCGCGACCGACCCCGGGACCCATCCGCGTCCCGCCCGCGACCCAGCCCGCGACCTACCCCGGACCCACCCGCGACCCACCCGCGACCCACCCGCGACCCACCCACGACCCACCCGCGACCCACCGGCGACCCACCCGCGACCCACCCCGCGTCCCTCCCGTGACCCACCCGCGACCCACCCGCGACCCAACCCGCCACGCCCGCGTCGCCCGCGCCCGCCCCCTCACGCTTGTCCGCAATTGCGGGGTGCTGCGTAGCTGATGTTTCGCTCATGTGTCGCTCACTGCCTGCCTTCTCGCTCGAACTACTCCCAGCGTTGTAGCTGATATGACGCCCTCTGCATGTCCCGAGCTCGAGCTTTCGCCCGTAGCTCCTTTTCACATGAATTACTTCCTACGTTGCAGCTGATAAGTCGTTCGCTGCTGCCCTTCTCTCACGGGCTGTTCCCAGCGTTGCAGCTGATGTGCCGCAGGCTGCACGACCTTGGACTTCGGCCTTGCCCCCCGCGGCTCGAAGAATGAACCGCCTGTCGCCTTTCGCCCCGGCACGCCCTGACCCCAGCGCTGAAATTGATGACATCGGGCTTTCGCTTCGCCTTAAACCTCGCGGGTTAGCGACTGAGGTTGCTGCCTCTGCTCTGCTTCCTGGCACGCACGAGCTTGGCCCGCCAGCCGCAGCCGCTCTCTGCGTGCACTCTTGCAGCCGCGCCCCTTTCGCCGGCTCTGCTGCTCGCCAGGGTGACGAGGGGGACAGTCAGGAGGGGAAAAAACACACAGACACAATGAATCGTGGATTCCCCAGAACATATTGGAAAATATGGGTAATATGGGGAAATATGGGTAATCCTTTAATTTATGTATATTTATTTGTGTGTGCTTGGGCCCCTTGAGACAGGGAGGGGCGAGAGGAGGGCGCGGGGCCATGGCGACTGCACGCGTGCCGGGTCTCGGCCCGGTGACGATGGGCCCCACGTTTCTTCACGACGGCTCCCGAGCACACTGCCGCTGCGAGGTTGCGACACACAGAATACCCCGGCGCGCCCCGTGCAGTGGGGGGGGGGCGCTTGGGCGCGAACTGGCGAGAAGAGAGAGGGAGGGACGAGAAAGGGGAGGGGAAAGAGGCAGAGGAGAGGAGAGGGAGAGGGAGGAGGAGAAGGAGAGGAGAGGGAGAAGAGAGGGGGAAGAGGGGAGAGGAGAGACAGGGAGGGAGGAGAGAGGGAAGAGGGGGAGGGGGAGGCAGGAGCCATGGAGCAGGCAAGAGCCAACCAGGCGGGAGCGGCGGGCAGTGGAGGAGATTGGCTCAAGGAGGGGGCCAGGACGACGAGGACGACTGGCACAGGGGCGACGAAGACGAATGCGAGGACGACGAAGACGACGGCGAAGGCGTGGGTGAGGAGGACGAGCATGAGAGTGGGAGAGAGGAGTTGAGCAGCAGCAGAAGGAGAACGGGGACGACCAGGCGGGCCGCATGGAGCAGGATCAGGACTGAGGTGGAGTAACGAATGGAGGAGCGTGAGCGGGAGGAGGTGGATCAGACACAGTAGCTTGAGGAGGTGACAGGGTCAGGCTAAGAAGCATGAGCTTGAGGGGGAGTTAGAGATGGAGACGTTGGGGTAGAGAAGGTGTACTTATTTTCTGGCACTCCTGTCTTCCGACGCCTCCTTCTTCTTCTTTTCTTCCTCCTCGAATCATCAATATATTCCTTAGCATGTTTCTCGTTATCGTCCCACGTCCTTGTCCTTCCGATCGTGTTCTATGTATGGCGATCCTTCCGATCCTTCTCCTTCCGATCCTGCTCACTGCCCCCAACCTCATTCTCCTCGTCCTCGCCCGTCTCGCCCCTCAACTCCCTCATCCTCCCTCCTGGACTTTCTTGTTCCCATCATCTCTTCTTCTCTCTCTCTCTCTCTCCTCTCTGTCTCTCCCTCCCTCGCTCACTCCGGCAACCACGACGCGTGAACCTCCTGGCGGTCCAGCGCTCCCGCTGGGATTTCATAGGGTCGGGACGGTTTCCGGCGCTTCGCTTAAGTCGGACACGTCCCTCTACAGGAGGAAAGTTCAAAGATAGTCTGGGGAAGATGTTTGACGATGCCTTGATGTTTTAGCATGTTTCTACAGTATTTTGTTTTTTCCTCCCAAACTCGCCTGTAGGAGGACATGCCCGACATAACGCTTCGCTTCGCTTCCCTCCTATCCCCACTCCCCTCCGCCTCCCCTGCCCTGGCTCCTGTCTCCCCCTCCTGCTCCTCGCCCCTCTGCGCGCGACGGCAATCTCGCTGCGCCCCGTCGCGGCCCGGGCCGCAGCCAGAGGGCTGCCCCATGCACGATCCCCCGCGTGCCCAGGCATCTTCCGTGATGTTTTCGGTTGAGTCCGCGGCCCGACGGGTCCCGACCCCCTCTCCCAGAGGTACCACCAGCCTCGAACTGATCCCGATCCCTAAGACTGGCACGCCAAACGGCGATGACAATCTCAGGGATGCACCCTCGGAAACTGAGGGAACCCCTAAGATCGCCATCGTGATGAGGCGATGCCCAACAGGGATAGGAATATGTTCCAGGCTGGTAAAGGTAGTCGTGCGCTTTGCGGGCCCCGGAAACGGCAGGGCCGTTTGTTCACCGTTTCCAAACAAATGTCCCTTGAAAATGGA